TTTGTGGTGATTATTGGGAAGAGAGTGAACACATTTGCCAATCGCCGCAATCGTTGTTAAGTAAACTAATAGACTGAACGGTATTGTATTGAATGTCATTGCGAACCAAAACCATATTTAGACATTTGTTCAAAAACTATTTATTTATTTATATTTATACAAGTAAAAACTTTTTATACGTTATATCTAATGGTTTACATATTATATTTACATAATTTTTTATGCATAAAACACTTAAGACTAACACTAATTGATGAAAATTATTGATAAACAAATTGGTGAATAAGTTTTATGTTCAAAGTTTTAGAAAAATTTATTGAAAACATTTAATATTTGTATAGTATTTATATTATATAAATTGTATACTAGTATTGGTGGCAACAAATCGGCCGTCAAAATGAGACTCACTTTTATTTCACTAACAAATATGTGGAGAAATACTGTATATCTCATAGAAATATTAATTAATTTTAATTATTAATTAATAATTGAGGACTTAATACAGTCTTTTCTCTCCCATAGAAATTCAACAATAATAAGAGTTTAGTGATAGAAAATTGCTTATAATTTATCGTTTAATTAATTTAATCTTAAAAAATAAATATAATAGTTAATAGATTTAGTCATTTAATCCCATAATATAACCGTCATACGTACAACTGACCTAGAGTGCGTTATTTTGAAACAAAAGTTTGATGTGTACCTGTATCCAATGAATAGGATTCTCAACAAATTAGGTATAAATTAGTTATTTGATAAGGTCCAACATGATCAATTTCTAATAATTTACATATGTAAAGTAAAATTTACGCACGTTATATATAGTGCAAACTTTACTCTGAATAGAGTGCAGTACTAATTCATTGGTTGTTTATACAGAAGTGATTTTATAAATTATTATTTTTAGTTTTTCTTACAAAAAGTTATTTGTGTTAATTTGACGATTGAGGACAGCGTTCAGTCAGTTAGGGTTTCGGCACTCAATTAGTTATACAAAATCGTTGCTATTATTTAATATAATTATATTTTTAAATTAGTTGAACCGCTGGTAAAGCAAAGCGAACAATGAGTCAATTCGGCCCCAATTGCCATAAGTTTGGCCAAAGGTATAGTCCATTCTCGTCGGCGTCACACAAAAGCAAATCAAATCTTCATCTCAAAGAACCCAGAAGTGGAAGAATCGCCAGAAATTACAAACACTGGTCAACAAATGATCACCACATGTCTGTCGAGAACCCATTGATAACAACGATGACCGACAATCCGACAGATAATCCGACCGAAGATCTCAATACTATCCCAGAGATGGTGGAGAAGAGTGTGACTCAGGACCCGATGTTTACGAAGATTGTGAACGCCTTCGAGAAGACGTTGGGAAAGTCTAATCTGATTGTTAATGAAATGGATATAAAAGTACTTCATATGAATGACGGCGAAAGCGTTCGCCAGAAATACCGGACCTTTGAGGCAGATGTGGCCGACTTCTGCAAAGAGTTGGATCTGTTGGCACTTTTACCGCACGAGCAGATGGAAGACAACACGAAGAACTGGTTGGACGCGATGGCTTTGCGCAGCTGTTGGTGGTATGATATGACGGCTTGGAGTCCAAACTCGGACATGTCTGTGATCCGCGTCAGCGAGATCTACGGCTTGCGGGCCAACGGACACAAAGACCTGAAGAGGTTTCTAGAAGTGGCCGCAACTCTGGCCGAAATGCAGCTAAACCTATACGAGATATCGCTGATTGTGACCTACTCTCTGGTGATGGGCGTCCACTCATTCATTGTCGACGAGAACGGGGAGCCGTCGGCCACGGCTGACCTCAGGGAAGAAGTACTCAGGCTTTTGTGTGACTACGAGAAGGAGTTTTACGGACACAAACAGTTACGATACTCTCATATATTGAACAATGTCTCAAAATTACACAAAATTGTTTCATTGTTTTAGACTTTTACTAAAAATTATTTACTTTCAAATTGTTTTAACCATTTTTTGATTCAATATATACTTAATAATTATTGGCGATTCATGTTTAGACTCTGTTCTAGCATTTAATTAATGTACAATATTAGTAATAATAAGAACCAGTAATAATTAATCAATAATATTTTTAATATATTATAATAAACTTATAGAAACTAATTGTTAGTTCACTAAATGTGATTAAATTTTCAATAAGAAATACTTGTATAAAACTTATAAGATTTAAATTACTATATAAAGTGATGATATATTAAACATTAAAACACTTTCAAGCATTAGTAAAAGTTATATGCAATTGATTTTTGTTGAACAAAACAAGTGAAATATATTATTCTTTACAAAACATCTGCCATTAAGTGATAATTAGGCACAGATTTCAAGTTCAATAGACTCTTAACTATATCTACAATCAGTTTATTGTTTAATGCATTTGAGTGTTGAATATGTGATCCGCACCTGAAATACATAAAAACTATACGAATGCTAATTAAGAGCCGGTATTGCCTATCGTTGGCAATGGATTCGCTTCCATAACCACACAAATAGCTTTCAATCGTCTCTTGTTTTTTATAGACGAGACAAACATTTGAATCTCAGAAAAACGTGTTTGACTTCCATTGGCTGATGGATTCACTACTGAACCAAATATTTTATAAAACATAAAACACATTTTGATATCAATTTAGATATCATTTAAACATCAAACCCATTATCCTCTCCCTCTCAACATAACAAATATTTTACATCAAAATAAGTTTTTGGGATAAAACTCATGTGTTTTTCCATACAAACAAAGTGAGTGAGATTTGAACAGTGATTTATTTTTTAAAAAGTGTGCTTGTATAGTTAACAACACAGACAATTCATACGTTACTACGTATTTTAAGAAGTCGATCAAAACAAATCAATGAATTGGTCACAGAGTTATGTTCAGTGACATTGGCATTTCAGGTGTTTTAAATACCCTAGATACTTATGTCACCTACCCTTCGTTGTAAACAGATTTCTAGGCATACCCTACGCTCAGCCGCCGGTCAAGAACTTGCGCTTCAAAAAGCCGTTACCCATCGAAGAGCCGCCGAAGATAGTGGACGCCACCGAATGGACGCCCGCCTGTTATCAGAACGAACTCTTCAAAGAGATACTCATTAATAAGACGGTCAGCGAAGACTGTCTGCATCTGAACGTGTGGTCACCGAAGACAGACACCGAACGCCAGTACGAAGAGGAAGCGTTACGGCCGGTGCTCTTCTGGATCCACGGCGGGGCCTATATATCCGATTCGGCCAGTCGTCAGATATACGACGCCCAGTGGTTGGCCGCCAAGTCTGACGCCGTTGTCGTGACAATCAATTATCGTTTGGATATCTTCGGCTTTCTCTATACGGGAACCGATGACGCGCCCGGTATTGACCACAAGTTTATATCTTAGGGAATATTCTTTAAAAATTTATGTTTGCATTTAAGGAAACGTCGGTCTTTGGGATCAGGCGCTGGCCCTCGAGTGGGTGATCGACAACATCGCGTACTTCGGCGGCGATCCCAAGAAGATCACAATTGTGGGCGAAAACGCCGGCGCCTTCTCTGTGGGCGTTCATCTATTGTCTCCCATCAGTCGAAATCTTTTCCAAAACGCTGTCCTCATCTCCGGTTCGGCCATAAACTACATCATCGGCGAGAAGCCAGAAGTGGCCAAAAAGAAGTGGCTGTTGGCGGCCAATGAACTCGCTTGCGGTGACGGCAAAGAGTTTGATGACGAGGCCATGGAATGCCTTCGCAACAGAGAAGCCTCTGAATTGAGTAAAACTCTTCTCAAATTGTCTCAAACGGCAAAAACAAAGAACAAAGAGTTCGACGAAATCACACCACAAATGGTGTTCGGCGACCAATTCCTGCCCGAAGAGCCGCTGAAGATGATCGCCGACGGAAACTATAAGCGATCGGTGAGTGTATTGATCGGCCACACGGACGACGAGGGCGGGTATATGTTGCCAATGGTTGATATGGAGAAGTATTCGGTCACTAATACTAAAGACATTACGAAAGGCGAGGCTTTTGACGACCTGAAGAAACT